AGTAGAGTATTTTTAAAGTGTTAAAAGTGAACATAAAAACACAAGATATAACTAAAGACTACTACTTGAGTCAGATACTCTGAGAAAAGCAAGAGAGCATGAACAAAGAATGAAAAGGAAGGAAGTGTGTGCCCTGAAAACCCAGCTTACACCCGTTCTCAGGCATGCCTGGGGGTAGTCCCAGTCCCGACAGACTCAATACCATCAGGGCTGGCCCCCTGCATTTGGTGTGGCTAAACCAGACCAAACGAAATGCATTCCCTGGCCATCTGCCCCACTGCGAGGGCTGTGTGCCAGTCATCACTGTTCATTAGGGGGAAAGAACCTGGACAAGAATGTTCTGCCCTTGGGAAAATGTTTCAAACACTCGGTTTTACATCCAATTTTTTGGTAAGGGCTGGACTCGGATGCCCGAAAGACAGAGGGGAACCACCCCTGTACTTCATGTTATTTTAACATAGGCAACAAAGATGTAAATAATAATCAGAGAAACCCACTGACCTCAGGATCTTTCCAATTAACTTCAATAATCCTTCATTCAGCAAATATTCAGTAGGCACTGGAGACCAAGCTGTGAGCAAGAGAATCTCCATCTGCCTTCCACGTGCATTTCTCTCTCACATGCTGCCTTCTACGGGAAGGCGCCTTTCAGACGGAAGTCTCAAGTTCAGGTGCAGTTCCTCGTAGCAGACAGAAGTGAGGAACGTACGACGCATGAGGGCAGGGACCATGAGAGCTGGGAGGACGAGGAAGCTTTCCTGGAGGATCCCAGAGGACAAGTGGGATTCAACAAGTGGAAAGGCGCTGGAGTAGGAAGCGCATCACAAGTCGACCTGAAGCTGGGCAGTTTCAGGGAGTAGCAATGGGGATGAAAACACAGGAAGGGAGGCAGTGAGAGATGCGGCAGGCTGTAATCAGATACCCTGATCCACAGCCACATTAAGAAGTCCGAACTTGAACCACAGACAACAGGGAGGGAGACCGCCAGAGGATTTAAACGGGAATGTTGCCTGACAAGCCCTTTTTGATCTAGAACTAATTCAAATCTTTCCCTAACCCTTTCACATCGGGCTTTTAATTTATGTAACCAAAATATTGATGAGGGTGTGATTTAAGGTCTAAATACTTTCTAACTCCATTATTATCAATTCTGACTCCATTACACGTAAATTGGACTTCATCAAAATTAAAAACTTTTGTGCTTCAAAGGATATCATCAAGAAAAGACAACTCAGGGGCTGGCCCAGTGGCGCAGCGGTTAAGTGCGCGCACTCCGCTGCAGCAGCCCGGGGTTCGCCGGTTTGGATCCCGGGCACGCACCGACGTACCACTTGGCAAGCCATGCTGTGGTGGTGTCCCATATAAAGTAGAGGAAGATGGGCATGGATGTTAGCCCACAGCCAGTCTTCCTCAGCAAAAAGAGGAGGATTGGCAGATGTTAGCTCAGGGCTGATCTTCCCCACCAAAAAAAAAGACAACTCACAGAATTGGAGAAAATTTCTGCAAATCATATATCTGATAAGGCACTTGTATCTAAAATATATAAATAAGTCATAACAATAAAAAGATAACCCAATTTATAAATGGGCAAAGCATCTGAACAACAGACACTTCTCCAAAGAAAATATACAACTGTCCACTAATCACTTGCTGGACATCATTAGCCATCAGGGAAATGCAAATTAAAACCACAATGAGATACATCGCACCCAGTAGGATGGCTAGGATCAAAAAGTCTGAGAAGAACAAGTGTTGACGAGGATATGGAGAAACTGAAACCTTTATACACTGCTGGAGGGAGTGTAAAATGGTGCAGCTGCTTTGGAAAACAGTCTGGCAGCTCCTCTAACAGTTAAGCATAGAGTAACCAATATGACCCAGTGATTCCCAAGAGAAATGAAAACATATGTCCACGCAGAAATTTGTAAACCAATGTTCATAGCAGCATTATTCATAATAGCCAGAAAGGGGAAACACCCAAATGTCCATCAACTGATGAATGGATAAACAAAACACAGTATATATCCAAGGATGCAGGCTATACAGAAACGGAAATATAGTGATGTATACCTGAAATTTACAAAATGCTGTAAGCGAATATGACCTCAATAAAATAATTTTTAAAAACCACCACGGTATACCCCTACAATGGAATATTATTCAACCATTAAAAAAAGAATGAATCACTAATACATGCTACAACATTGATAAACCTTGAAAACATTATGTTTAATACAAGGCAGACACAAAAGACAACCTATTGACTGATTCCATCTATACGAAACATCCAGAAGAGGCAAATCCATGGAGACAAGAAGTAGATTAGTGGTTGCCTAGGGCAGGGGAGAGAGAATGAGGGGGAAAGGGGACTGCTAATGGGTACGGGGTTTCTTTTCCGGCTGATGAAAATGTTCTAAAATTGTGGTGATGCCTACACGACTCTGTGAATATAGTAAAACCACTAAATTGTATACTTTAAGTGAGTGAATTGTATGGTATGTGAATTATATCTCAATAAAGTGGTTATTAAAAAAAGATTCCATTATCTTTTTTCACTACTGAAATACAAAATAAGCTCTCAAAAAGGAGTATAGAGTCTTGTTCACTCATTTTAAAGGATCGGAACTAGGGCAATGAAAACCCAGAGAGATTCTATTACTTAACATTCTAGGTACTAGGTCATACTGAAATATTCATGAGGATTTCCATGTTTTAATACAGAAAAGGCATCTTAAGTTTAAAAAGACATACTCACAAGTGTCAGAAAAGAGTTTTCATAACTCAGGAATAGTACAACACAGGGAAGTCATCAAATGGAAAACAAACATGGATTTGTACCCTGAATATGAAAGTGGTACCCAAATTTATTATTGTTCTACCTCTGAAAAAGAAGTCAAAGGTAAAAACCCAGTTAATAACATGTTTCTAAAATACCAGTTCATGACAAATCAAAGTATTAAGAAATAATTTGCCATCATAAAGAACTGAATCTCCACGTTCCCAGTTATATAACTAAGAACTGATCATTTATCCTTTCGAACATTCCATTTCTTAGGCCTTCGAGGGACTCTCGTCCTCATGGTTAGAGTGGATCCCAAAAGTGACAGATGCGATAAGTATAAAACAAATCAAAAATATGTTTAAAAAGTGCTATTTGTCAACCCTGAATCTAATCCCAAACTATATATAAATAGACATAAATGCTGATTAGCACAATCTGCAGGCTAAGCAACACCTGATCATGAAAAATTCAATACTGTGTGCATTGATATCTCATTGACACGTGTCTATTAAAATTCATCAGGCTTTAATGTACCTTCCACAAATAATCAAAAACAAATACAGACAAGGCACATTCTGGATTTGTCAAAAAGGTGTGTACCTGACCTTTATACCAATCTTTGTTCAACCCTCAGTACACGTGACTGTCACCTACCACAAAACATTGCACTTAGGGCCTAATGCACAACACAATTCCCAGTTTTATTTGACTTTTTTCCCCCTATTTATTTATGCAATCTCTCAGACCCAGCGGTTACCATTAGGCTTCATACCCAAACACAGCGACTCTGAAATGTATCTCCAAGCCAAAAAAAAAATTAGTTTCCTTAAATTAGTTTTCTGAAATATACAGAATCAAATCCAAAATAGATTTTTCCCATTTCTTCAGTTTTACAGGGAAGGCAGAAAGTGAAGTAATATAAACAGATATCTATGTGCCTTCACAACTGAACAGACGGTACAAAGCAACTGCTTATACTTAATCATGTTTCTGTCTATTCTAGCAGGCCCTGGTGTCAGGAGAGAGTTGTGCCAGATAAGGACAATGCAATGCATTATTATATAGAGTGACTAAGAGCCCTACAAGTACAGTTTTAGAATGTAATCCCAGGCAGGAAGGCTGTGGTAAGAGGGCCTAATATTTTCTGACAACTATTTCCAAAAGTAAACACATTTGCTACCCAGTACCAGTTTAAAAACACACACTATATTCAGTTCTGTTTAAATGTCTTACAGGAGAGAAAGAGTTTTGTATCTTGCTATCCTGGAGGAGATGAACAACTTGCAATTTGCTTCTCACACTGATTCCCACGTTTGCAACATGTAGAGCAAGGACTTCAGACACCACAAAACAAGGACAGCCTACATTAAGGCCAAATATAGGATGTGAGTCTAAACCACGATGCAGTAAAGCCTACGTTTCCTTTTCCAGCGATCAAAACCCTTTGAACACGCCCAAAAAAGGCCGGCAGGGCCAGCTCCCTCCAAGAGGAAGCCCCTTTCTTCTCGCCTCTCCCTACAGCCTGCCACTTCCCCCAACACATTCAAAGCTTTTGAGAGACGGAGAGCTGGTGTGTGCGCGCCTGTGTGGACAGGCGGGAGAGCTCGGTTCCTGCATTCCCACTCTCAACATCTGACCTCATCCTCAGTCATTTAGGCGCAGCGGAGCCCCACCTGCACCTGGCTCCTTTCTACTGCGTCCCTTGCCAGCTGCTCCGCTATTAGGGGAGCACATCTCTGAATCACCCAGTTCACTCGGACGCTCCAGGCCCCCGACCCCGCAGCCTTCCTGCTTGGTTCTTCCTCTCCCAATCCCCCGCCAGTCCCAGCCCTCCGCTCCCACAACCGGGCTCATCCTCTTCTCCCCAAGCCGCCCCCAACCACATTACCTCCAGCTCTAGCCCTGCCCCGCCCTGCCCGACCCCCAGCCCAGATCTTCGGGGCCCAGAGCTGGCCTCGCACCCAAAGCCAGGCAACCCCCAGGCCAGACCGCCGCCCTCAGCCCGACCCCCGCCCACCCCAACACCCACTCGCTCCGTACCGCGGCTCAAACCCCGCCCCAGGCCTGGCGCCCCCGGGCTCTGCGCCCTAGCCTGGAGCAGCCCCTCCCCACCCAAGACCCCACCCAACCAGGCGGGATCCTGACCCCTGAAAACCAACCTCGGACAGCCCCGTCCCCGCTCCTCACTCGGTCCCCGCTCCTCACTCGGCCGGGAGGGTTCCGGACCCCTAGAAGCCTCCCCTGGGAAGCCACCTCCGCAGTGGAACCCCAGGTCACTCTCCCCAGGCCAGGCGGTTCTGTCCCCAGCCCCCTCCCCCCGGATCCCGCGCCTCCGGCAGCAAGCCGGCCTCCATCTCCTGCACACCGGCCCGGGGGGCCCCCGGCCAGAGGATCCGCGCCCCGCGCGCCCACCCAGCCCACACACCTCCACCGGGCCCTGCCCCACGCCCGCCGGCTCCTGTCAGCCGGCGCCGGCACATGCCGAGAGGACAGGTCCGCCCGCCCGGCTCGCTCCCGAGCGGCCCCG